GAGGAAGCGCTCAGGGAAGAGCTGCCCAGCATCATGTTTATTGTGAGGGCAGCATCTGGACAGCGTGAGACATCAGAGGATGTGAGGGGAATCAGAACGGAGAAAAGGCTGGGAGGTGGTTTCCAAGAGACAGTTTCCTAGAGCAGCGCTGAGGGCTGCAGAGTGGGTAGGTCGTGAGACGGTGGGAGAGAGGAGTGCTGTTGCTGCCCCCGCCGCCCTTCTTTCCTCTGACGGTGTCGCTGGTGGAGGGAGGAGCACAGTGAGAAGGAGGTGGGGCAGGCTGGCGGGGTCTTGGGTTGGACTTTCCTTTGTGCGGGATGTGCGAGTCCCTTCTGCAAGTGGAGGAAGAGGCCCGTGAAGGAAGATGTGAAGACGAAAGCCGAGAAACAGCGTGATCTTTCTTCTTTCACTCTGCTCCCTGTGGGGACCTCCGCACCAGCCCTATGAACGCGGCCCTATTGCAGAAACCAGGAAGGGGTCTGAATTCACGTGAGGTGGGGAACAGATGGGTGCAGGCACCGAGGGCTGCATCGGGCCGACGTGAGTCCTGGTGGAGTCGGGGTGATGCCTGTGGATGGCCCCGTGAGCTGTGGGAGGAAGCGCTCAGGGAAGAGCTGCCCAGGCCACTCGGGTGCATCCCTCTGGGGAGGAGCAGTGTCCCCTGGTGGCTGTCGGCCTCAGGAACCACTCTGTGGGCCAGGCTTTTCTCCCACTTGCGGTGAGACTGGAAGAGAGGTCCCCTAAGATGCCCCATGGAGGAAGTGAGGATGTAGGGGCCTCACCCTCACACTCAGTCGGGAAGCCTCACCCGACCAGCTCTCTTGCAGCTGCCTCCTGGGGAAGGAGCTGCCTGCCCATTGCAGCCCCGGGGACCCCGCAATCGAAGCTCGGGGTCACGTAGGAAACCAACACTGGGCCCACAGCTTGTTGGGACAGTGTTTGGAGTCTCGCAGGAGGGCACAGCTTCTTGAAGTCAGTTTGGGAAAAGAGAGTTGGGGAATGAACATGAGAGCAGAGTTGGGAAATGAGTGGAAGTCATTCCTGAGGGGAGGAAAGGCCCTCACAGGTCCTCAGCTGGGAGCCGTCAGCGTCGCGCTCGCGTGTCCTGGTCAGCTTTGGTCGAGGTGCCGTGGCTCAGCCAGGACCACTGACTGACGTTGCCTGCTGGCTAGCGCTTGATGAAGTCCAGAAACACCTTCATCTGCAGTGAATCCATGTTCATGGTCACGCTTATGTGAGCTCAGTGGAAGGTGGAGAGCACGTGGATTCAGATGATGTGCTCAGGCAGAAAGGCGAAGCAAAGCCCCAGAAAAAAACAGTTTCCTCATCAACAAAATGGGAAAATTACTGCTGTCTACTTAGTGAAGTTATTGTGTACTTGAACCTATGCATTTTCTCTTAAAATTACATAGATGGCACAAATGGTCAATTCTTTATTTTTTTAGGAAGATTAGCCCTGAGCTAACTGTTGCCAATCCTCCACTTTTTGTTGAGGAAGACTGGCCCTGAGCTAACATCCATGCCCATCTTCCTCTACTTAAATGTGGGACACCTACCACAGCATGGCTTGCCAAGTGGTGCCATGTCCGCACCCAGGATCTGAAGCAGAACGTGCAAACTTAACCGCTGTGCCACCAGGCCGGCCCCTTCAGTAGATTTTAATGCTGTCAAATACATGCCTTTTTTTCAGTTCTTTAGAGCACTCATTTGTTATTCAATGGTATTTGATGAGAAAAAAATGAATTTTTTTCCTTATTTTTAATATGAAATATTTCATATATTCAAGAGTATTATATAACATATATGTAAAGAATAAGGAAGAATAAAAATACATCATGCACCCACCACTCAGCTTAAGAAATAAAACATTTCCAATACTTTTGAGGCCCAGAGTTGGAAAAATTTCATATCTGCATGAAAAAATTATGTATTCTCCTGTTGCTGGGTACCCTAACTGTTGTACTCTACAAGTTTGGGTATATCTCTTCTGAACCTCGTTTAGCTGAGCTTTCAAAACCTAACGTGATGGTCTTCGTCTTTTAAGGGTGTTATAGTGCCTCCCAGGTGCCCTGAGTCCTGGCCTGTTGGATGGTTTCTGCCACTGCGTGCCAGGCCGTGATCCTAATTGTCCTGCTTTGTCTGTGTTTATTTGTTTCAATTCTTGTCCTGTCTGGATTGACTTTTTCCTCATTCCATGTTTTCCTTCTACTGGTTTGGATATTATACACTCTATTTCAATTATTTTTAGTGGCTTCCTAATTGGAGTTTTATTTTCAGTCACTTGTACAAAGTTGAAACTGAATTTCTTGGTCAGGGAGCGTCAGGAAACATTCTGGGCAGCTGTCTGCGTCCGAGCCGGGCTCTGCCTCTGAGCTCACTTTTCTCCTTCAAGGATCTCCATACTTTCTCTCCCGCTCAGACACAAATTAAAAGTTATTCTCTTACATATTTTATGCAGCATTTTCAGTGTTTTGTGGCAGTAGAATTTTTTAGCATAGAGACCTCAGTATGAACTTGTCCATACATTTATTTTTTGATTTTTCTCAAAATGGACTAAGAAAAAATTATTTATATGTATGACTTTGCCATTTTGGAAATAAGGACTGGCTACTGCTAAGGAGGTATATGTCTTCGCTCTCTTGCTACATTGTGCATTTCTAATATTATTTACTGTTTGGTAGAAGAGAGGTGTCATATGCAGAAATAGTAATGTGGCAAAAAAAAAAAAAAAATAAGTAGTCTATGAGTGACCAGATGAAATGCTATGAGATTGCGGTAGAGTAAGGTTTCATCTCAGTGGTCCGTGCCCTGCACACACATATTATACAAAGCTTCCTGAAATGGGTGTCCTTTTGGTTGGGCTGTGTAGGATAGATAAAAGTCCTTCATGTTTGAATTTAAAAAAAACAAAAAGACTTTGATTTTCAAACCATTATACCTAGCATAAAGCATATACTAAATCAGGATCAGAAAAACTGCTCCAGGGGCCAAATCTGGCCTAAGGTCTATTTTGATAATAAAGTTTTATTGGCGCACAGCCATGCTTGCTGTGTTTATTACTTACATATTATCTGTGCTGCTCTGTGCTACAACAATAGAGTTGAGTAGAAGCAAGGGGACTATATGGCCCGAAAAGTCTAAAATATTTACAGTCTGCCCTTTTACCATAAGTTTCCCAACACCCATCCTAAATCATCTCTATATTACACAGTAAGTTTATGGGGAACTTTTCCCATAGCCTAACTTTCTCCTTTTCATTTGTATTTATTTAAACATATTAGATTTGGGAGTTCTCACAAGAAATATTTACTCATGCATTCCCTCTATGTTACAGTTTATTTCTGTTTCTTTGGTTAGAGCTATTTCCTTGCTCCCACTTCTTAAGAATTATTTTCTTTAATAGAAGCTTTAAGATTCCCGGTGCTATTTTGTATGGTTACTTTTGAAATAATAGTGTTTTCTACCAAGTTGACCCTAGATTAATGTGTTAAAACTATTAAAAAAAAGTAACGGGTCAAATAACTCTTCAGTAAATTGGTGAGGTATCTTTGCATCCATTAACTAAAATCTCACTCTGTCCCTCTATGGACGGGGATTAGCTGGCCTTCAAATTGGGGGTTTCAGATCCTAAACTACTTTACGTCTTGTGTGTCTGTGCCTGTGTGCTTTAATTGTGGGAATTAAGTAGGAAAAGTGTCGATCGGCAAAGCAGGAAAGGGATTTTAGAGTTTTAAAAGTAGTCATTGACGTTCTGCTCTGGAGCTGTTGATACGCAGGGAAACAAGGAAATCCCGGGACTTCAACACCACCCTGCTTGGACCTCACTCTCTTGATCCCGTGTCTGGGAGATCAGCGCCCAGAGTTGTCTCAGATGTCAAGCGTCTGGCTGACTGCCGGAATTCACGGTAGCATGCGTGCGTCCTGCCCTGGGAATACTCGCATCCCACAGTCTGACTCCACACAGATCATTTGCTTGGCCGTTTCCCAGGAGTATCTCTTTTGGTGTCAGAGCCAATGATGGTTGGCTGGCACAGGACAACTCTCTTGGTCTCATTTGCAAGCCTAAGAATCCTTTCACTGGGATTCCCTGGCTGTCACGGTGCTCCACGTAGAAGGGCGAACAGTTTCTCTAAGATCAAGGGATACGGGCTTATGGGCTTATGGGGCAGGAGGAGACTTGAACCCTATTAAATGTGAGCTTTCATGTGGGAAGTGGTTTTCCTCAACAACCTTGGCTGTCCGACCCCCAGTGGTTATCAATAAAGAGGTAGCAACCCTCACAGATAAAACCTGAGCGAGATTAAACAAAATTGGGGTAAGTAAAAATCTGAATATTTGCAAGGTGACGTGGAAGGACTCTCGAGCACAGATATAACGTATGGAATTATACATTCTGTATACTGTATGGAATCACATACTTGGTGGCAAATAGACAAGCAGTCTCCACGAATGGGTGTGAAGGACGGCGTTTTGTGGAAGACAGATTGCCCAGCAATTAGTTTAAAACAGCCTTTTTCCAAGTTTGTAGCATGCTTTGATAGTGGGGCATGGAGCCAATTACTGTGATGAACTTTTTAAAAAACAGGAATCAGTGTTGAACTTAGAATAAGGTAGTAAATATCAGAGTATGGAATATATAGTTAAGCTGAGTATTTTGTATAAGTTTTGCTTCAGTTATATACTGGCATATGTGCTGAGTGTCTGTGGAAATATTTTGAAAGGCATCTGTCTAAAAGAAACAGAGGCTTGGAGTGGATCCATAAACTCACCGTTAGCCACAGTGATTACAGTCGACTTGTATATGGCTCAGTGTTAGTAAGCGGAGCTGGGGCTATGGCATACGAGCTAATGCAGGTCTTACCTTTGGAGGTAAAATTAGTGGGGAAAATTGCTTCCTGTGTTTGCTTTCGTTCAAATAGCTATACTTCTGTTAGGAAAAGTAGTTTTGTTTTTGTCTTCCATCGTTTCCTTAGTTTGCTCCCATTTTCTCTTTTGCCCAGGAGATTGCATCAACAGTTTGAAAGCTATAAGGAACAAGTGAGAAAAATAGGAGAAGAAGCTCGACGTTACCAGGGCGAGCACAAAGATGATGCTCCGACCTGCGGCATCTGTCACAAGACGAAGTTTGCTGACGGGTGTGGCCACCTGTGCTCGTACTGCCGCACCAGGTTCTGCGCCCGCTGTGGAGGCCGCGTGTCCCTGCGGTCCAGCAAGGTGAGTGTCCCTGAGGCCAGGGCTCCCGGCGCAGTGGAGACACACCTGCCAGGGAGTGCGCTGCACACCTGCGTGCATGTACGCGTTCACTTGTTCTTCGTTTGTCATAAGGTTCACGTAGCGGAGTAGGGATGAAGATAGTTCGTGGAAAGACTCTGTATGTGTGCATCTTAATAACTGGCTCCCATCCCAAACCAGCAGGTTACCTGTGAGAGTATATTTGTTTTATGAAGAATGTAGTGAATTTAGATTTAGAATCATAAATTATAGAACTCTTGAGAGTTGTTATGGACAATTCTGCTTGTTATAAAAAAACCTACTTTTAGTCTCTGCAACATGTGTTTCAGATTGAGTGAAGGTAAAATGCAAGGTAAACTGTGGGACATGAAATTTAATCAAGATGATAACATATAAAGCAACAACGAGCCGCTATGAGAGTAACTGCATATTTATCATCATGGTGAAGAAATACGGTGCTCAGTTTATCTCATGGAAGTTATTTGGACATTTAAAGAATATTTTTCTTTTTTAAATTTCGGGTTTTTTGCACCTGTTTTCTTCTCTTTGAGATGTAGTTTCTGATGCAGTTTCCCCAGTTGGCTTAAAAGAGCCACTCCTCTGTTAGGTCCCTGCTTTAGATAGATGAAAGTTTTTGAGGCACTAAGATGCTCATATAAAGGATTAAACATTATTACTTATGAAACGCTAGGTTAATTCTAATAAACAGTTTAAAATATTTTAATGTACTTTATTATATTCTCTATACTGAAGTGCAGTAGAGTTATTTGTAGGGATATCTGGGGAGCTTTTCTTTGATATAGGTCTGCAATAATAGTATAGAACACTTAAGATTATCATATACTACAGAAAGAATTCCCAGTGTTTCTTTAAAGAACTTCTCATAGTATCTAATCATGTATAGAATTTAATTTAATACAAAGTTATATGTAAAAATAACGAGAATTGTTAAGCAATCTTGACGTCTTCCTAATTTGGAAAGTGACAGTTAAAATTAAAGTGAACCTCTCAGTCAGCACGGCATTCTTTGGTAGTGTATCGAGTTGTAAGGAGGGCATTCTAGAGTCTCTTCCAGAGGAAGTAAGACATTCAGTAAAATAGATACATTGTTATAATTTAAGGTGAACCTGCTATTATCTTTGTGGCCTTGGGAAGATAATTAACTTCTTTGAACAATAGCTTCTTTATCTGTGAAACCAGATAGTAACAATTGCTGTATGTGGTTATGATAATTAAATTAAAATAATTAAAATTTAGGTCTTTACGATATGGATATTTAATGTTTTTTAGGTTTCATTCTTAGGGTCACGTGTTTTCTTTTTCCTCCTGAAAGTTATTTGTTTTCGTTAGTCCTCATTTGCTGCCTTAAGCCTTTCTAGAACAACCTTGGGTCAAGATAGTGTCTGACACATAAAAAGTGCAGGAGATCTATCTGTTAGCTTCCCCTTCTTCAGCGACCTTAAATATACTATTTTGGAATGAACTGTCACTAGTGGGACCTTGGATGATATTCAAACTGTTGGATGACCCACGTGGTGGGGTACACTTGTGTTTTGACAAGGAGAGATGTTTAAAGGAAATGGAGCTAGGCGGTACCTGTGCTTTGGAGCCGACGCTCAGATCTAATGCAGGGCATTCATCTTTATTAGACCCATCCAATCCTGGAAGAAATATTCAAAGGAACAAAATAAGAGAAAGCACAACTTAAAACATTTAATCTTGGGCATAAGACAAAAAATTGCACAAGTTGGTTTTTCCTATGACACTGTAAATGTTGAAATGTATATTACAAATAAGTATTGCTTGTGGAATAATTTATGGCTAAAATAGTTAACATATTTCTTTTCTCATTTTTATTTGTTACAAACGTTTCCCATTCCTAGATTTTTCCAATTTATAACTATAAATATTTTAACAGTAATTTGCTAAAATTATTCATACAAATGTTATGCATTTTAATATCTTTTCAAAAATAAGTAGGCTAGATATGGCAGTGAATTAAGGTTTCTTTCTGAATAATGCAAGTTCTGAAAATTTCAGAAATCATAGTGCCCAAGTTCTGGGTCTAACCCATAGCAGGATCCGAATATGTGCATTTTCAATGAACGACTGAACAATGGTTATTTTGGGGAAAGAGTGAACATTTACTTTTGAAAATACCTGTGTTTTAACACTTTAAAGTAACAGATAACTGTTTTCTTGAAGTCTATTTGCTAATAGATGCCTTATTTTTGTTTTTCTCTTTTTCCTTTCTTCGCTCTGCTTCCTTGGATGCTTTCACAAAGGAGGACAAAGTGGTTAGAATCCATGATTTCTTTCCTATCATTTGTTATTATAATGCTGTGAACTTTGTTAAGTGAATGTTTCACTTAGTGTCGTGAATCCTGTATTTCACAGAGAAATTGTATGTAGGAAGAGCTCTTCCCAAGTTCTCATGGAAAAAAATTAAAACAAACATGTAGGAGCATTTCAGAGTTTTATATTAATAGGTAAAGTCTGGGCAGTTTGAGTTCATGGGATTGGTGACATTTTCACACAGTTTACGTCTCATGGACTCACATCCGCTCGGCTCTCTGAGCTTTCACGATGACTCCATCTCCCTTTAGCAACAGCAGTCTGACAGACAGCTCTCCTCTCAGCACCCAGTAGGGCTGCGGCAGGGGACTGAGCCTTCCCTGCAGGAGGAGCGGAGTGGAGAGGGTGGACCAGGTTGGAATCAAGAGCTCAGAACAGAAGGAGTTTTCTGTGGAACACAAGTAGCAGAGCTGCCGAATTGAACCGCGTTTTGCCCTTTTCTTCTCCCCCCAAGCATAGAAATCCTTCCCCAGGGGAGTGAAAGGTCACGTTTAACTCTTATCAGCTGTAGAAACCGTGGAGGCCGTCCTCAGGAAGACAGGATCCAAGTGGAACCCAGTCAGCCTGTCCTTGGTAGACACGCAGTGTGCTTTCATTCAGTAAAACTCCAATTTCCCCAAAGCCCATTCATTTCCCAATATGAGATGGAGGCCATGAGTATTTCAGGTTCAATACATCAGCTCAGCTGCCTTTGTTCGACGGTTTAAAGTTTAAATTACGTATTGCGTGCATAAGTAGCAAGCATGACATTAAATTGAACATGAATTTGTGTTTTCAACTTGATGCTAGTATATGTTCATGGGTTTTTTCTGTGAAGAAGAAATTGGGCTGAAAATTGCATAGAGTGGTTTGTTTTCACTAAATGTGTTTGCCTGCACCATCGGCGGAAGTGAGGTCATTGTAGGGCTGTTATTTTAATGCAATAATGTACTGTATTAGGAAAAATATCACCAGAATATCACACATTTGATTCCATGAATATTATTCCTGTGGGTGGGTCTACATTTGAATGTACACAATTTTAAATCTTTAAGGAATAAAAGTTTGAGTAAATAATATGCTGGCGTTATGCAGACTGGGTGGTAAGACTGCCCCCACTCTTGCAGGGCTGGCAGACCCGTGTCCCTCTGCCATCTCTCCCTGTAAGGGGAGCTTGTGTGCTTGTTGTGATTGCTGACTGTATAACGAGCATGCAGGTGGGTTTTGTGGTTCTCAGGATGAAAATAGAGTGGAAAGTCCTGTAAGATACCTCCACTTTCAGTTATTTTCTTCACTTTTATTAGAATGCATATATTTACATTTATTTTTAAGTACTTTGTCATAACTTAATTAAAAACCTTTTTAGCCTATTGTTCAACAAATTGCCTTTGTGGCCCAAGGAAGCTGAACCAGATTCCATCTTAGTGGTGATAAAGATAACAGCTGAGTGTTAAACAGAGTGCTGGTGGCTGGGTCTTTCCCTAATCCTCTGAGATCTTTTATTTTTGGTAGAGAAATTGTAATTTACAGAGATGTACATGCATGTGTGTGTGTGTGTTGGTATGAGTAGAAAGCAAGAAGAATAAGGGTGAGTAAAACTTTTCTAAAGCAATCTCCATCTCGATCAATATAATAGCAATGAATTCTACTTAGTCTGTTGGATTGGTGAATAAGTGTGACTAAAATACTAGTTTACATGAGGACAAAGGATTGCTGACTTATAAATATCCCTTTTCTTTTGTCAAGTGCAGCAAAAAATATTAATGATCACTTTTTTGCAGCCAGGCAATATTTTATTTTAAAACTCCTCCCTTAGCCTAAATCATGTCTGATAATAGTTGGAAGATTGTAAACTTGCTTATAAAGAAAATGGCTGTCATAAAGAATCACTTTGCCATTGACACATGCGATGGCTTATAATGGGAGATTATCTTACACAAGTGCGCACTCACGGAGGTAAAACTATCATTGTTACTTCGTTGAATGCCCTCTCCTGTGCCTACATAGATGGGGGACTGCAGAATTCCTCGCAGCCTGTTGAAATTGCTTCTGTCTTTGTTTTGCTCTCTATTTGGTGGTAGAATATTGAATTTAGGTAACTCCTTTGATAACATTAACATTTTGCTGTTTGTAAACCAGCTGAATTGAACCCTCCGAATTCACTTCCTTTGGGATTTCCAAATTTTCATCAGTATTTTCTTTAGGGAGGATGAATACAGCAACTAAAAATGACCTTGCTACATTTCTAGTTTTTATTGTCACACACACAAAAAAAGTCAGCTGTTATAAATTGAGTATTTTATGATAAATATCAACAATTCTCTGAAAAACAGAACCCTACCATTTTCTTATTCTTTCAAAATGGGAAAGCTGCAGCATGTGTAAAAAATTACATTTTTTATATCAAGATAATTCATGAGGTGTTATGTTTACAGAGTCATCATTTTTTAAATGGTTCTTCGTAGCTTTCCATTGGTGTTTGTTTTTAGAAATGATACTAAGTGATATGCTGATGAAGTCTGTTTTTATAGAAAAAGCTATCAAAGGTGGGGTTGGGTGGGAGGGCACAGCGCCAACTGAGTTCAGACTTGGTGTTATCATCAGGAGCTTCCTGTGGCATGACTGATTCTTAGCAGTGTACAGACTCTCACAGACCCTGCTCTTCCATACCAAAAGGATTTTGGTATTTTCTTCTCTCGATAGGCTTAGATAAAGATGAGCAAGCCAGTAGAATAATAATCATCTAAAAAATGATTTTTATCATTGCATTAAATATTTATTCTTATTATGAAAAAATATTCTCAAAGTTACCCACGTTTAGTCCGTAGTGTGATGAAGCCTATGATCGCAATTTCCAACTTTCAGTCTTTTGAAAACACGACTCTGAGAGTTGCCTGGACTCATTTTCACGTTCTGTTTTACTTTTTTTCTAGATGCGTTGATGATGGGTTTTTCTGCAAGAATGTTCTCTTAGAGATTTTCCCAGAAAGATAATACAGGCCTAAATAGAAAAGTTTATGAATACAGATAAACATATCAATAAGCAGATGTCAGGGTCTGGAGAGAACTTTCATCAAGCGATTTAGTTGCTTAGATTTCTTAGGGTTTCTCTTCTCATTTGGTTGTGCTTGACCTAGAGGAGAGTAAAACATCAAGTTTTAAAAACTTTTGTGGGAGATAATTCAGAAAGTTGCAAATTTTCTGTTTTAGGAATTTGCTATACTGTGTTTCAAGGGCGTGGAATTTTAATCTCTTGCATTTAGCATTACTGTTCTGGAAGTGTTTGCTGATGGTCAAGAATCATTGGAAGTTTATACCCAGTTTATCTTGTTCTGCCCTGACTCCTCAAATCATTGTTCAATACTCTTATCAAGTCTCTTTCTGGAAACTACAACCTCACAGATTAGAGTGAAATCCAGAAGCCTAGAAGGACTGGTGGAGCCACACCCGGGTTTGGAAAGTCAGCCTCTTCTAGTCCAGGGAAAGGGGCTGCTGGCGCACGGCTTTCACAAAGCTGCCCGCTAAACCGGCGTCAACTCTGTTTTCTGTGAATGTAAGTTGTCAGGTCTCTTGTTTCTATCCCGAGGAGTGGAATCGCTGGGTCACGTGGTAGCTCTGTGCTTAACAGTGTGAGGAGCTGATGAACTGTATTCTCAAGCGGCTGGAGAGCACTGTCTGAGGGTTCCAATTTATCCACATTCTCCTCAGTACTTCTTGTTGTCTGCTTTTTTTGAATTATAGCCGTCGTGTTGCATGTGAAATGGAATGGCGTCTCACTGTGGTTTTCATAAAGCTCTTTTTAAGCCAAAGTTATCACACTAGTTTGATATCTCCAAGGATTCCCTTTGATTGTGTGGATTTAGATTCCTGTCTAAAAATGCTTCTAAGTTAGCAGTTTCTTGAGAATGGACTTTTCTTAAAAGGCGAGCATATTCAAAGTATTAGAAGTTCAGTTTCTTTCTTCTCTGGGGATTCTTTATTTCTCTTATGTTAGAATTGTGTAAGTACTTATTAATCTATGTGAATCAATCAAAACAGGAGCTCCGTTAAATTTAAAATAACTTGAAATCTAATAACTATCTGTCTAGACAGCTTTCCCTGGGGTGCACAAAAGGTGGGAAATTTTTATCACTAAGTGAAAAGACTATTTTTAAACGTACTAGCTACTCAGTTTTACCGCTCAGCTGTAGGTCCAAAATTACCACAGAGACCCAAGCCCAGACTTTAAAGATTGGCTCCTCTTTCAGTGCACGAGACGGTCGTGAGTGATGTGAGCTCTGGTGGCTGACAGACGCATAAGACACTCAAAGACCTACAACCGGATTTTCTGTCGTCTGCCCCCGACCTTCACCGTATCCCTGCTGTCTGCCCCCAACAGATCCCACCCACAGAGAGATTGCCTGTTGCTGCTCCCCCAGCGGGGAGTGTATTGTCAGGCACAAGAAAAGCCTATTTTGTCTGATATTAGTAAAGCCACACAGCTCTCTCTCTTTTTTGTTAAATGTGATCTTTTTTTTTTAAAGCTTGGCCCTGAACTAACACCTGTGGCTAATCTTCCTTCTTTGTCTTTTTTTTCTTTATTCTCCCCAAAGTCCCCAGCACATAGTCGTATATTCTAGTTGTCGCTCCTCCTACTTGTGGCATGTGGGACCCGCCTCAGTGTGGGCAGAGGAGCAGAAACCCCGGGCCGCCAAAGCGGAGCTTGAGAACTTAACCTCTCGGCCGTGGGGCCGGCCCCTCCGGCTCTCTTATGGTTGCTCTTTACATGCTATATCCTTTTCCTTTTAATTTCGCCCTATTTTTATGTTTGAATTTAAACTCTGTCTCATTTAGACAACATATACTTAGGTCTTGGTTTTTTCTTTTTAAATCCAGCTTGACAATCTCTGCCTTTTAATTGATTTTTTTATAGAGAACTATGATTATATCGTACAACCAATACTGTTTATTTTTTTATTTATTTATTTTTTTTTTCTGGGAAAGGTTTGCCCTGAGCTAACATCTGTTGTCAATCTTCCCCTCGTTTTTTCTCCCCAAAGCTCCAGTACCTAGTTGTATATTCTAGTCGTCTTTTAGTTCTGTGTGAGCCGCTGCCACAGCCTGGCTACTGACAGACAAGTGGTGTGGTTCCACGCCCAGGAGCCGGACGCGGGCTTCTGAAGTGGAGCGCAGCGAACTTTAACCTCTAGGTCATCAGGGCTGGCTCTGGACTGACCTTTTAGTCCATTTATATTTCATGTTATTATTGACATGATTGTACTTATGCCTCCTATTTTACATTTTGATTTTTTTCTCTCAGTTTCTTTCTTCCTCTGTTTCTCCTTTACAGCTTTGTTTTGCATTAAATGAGTATTTTCTGGTCATGTTTTAATCACTTCAGTGATTTTTTTCACTATATTTTCTGTGTTATTTTCTTAGTGGCTCTAGGGTTTTCAAGATACATCTTAAATTATCAGGATCTACTTCATATTTACACTACCTTAATTCCAGTGAGAGATATGAATGTTAATTCTATATAACTCTATTCCCCTTCTCCCTTTTTTGTGCTATTTTTAATATATTTTACATCTATATATGTGTTACACACCCAATAACACATTGTTGTAATGCTACACTGTTGTATACATTGTTTATATAATTTTATACCTTTTAATAAAGCTGAGAGAAGAAATAAGAGCAGTTATACACTGATAGGATCTGTTACATAATGTTCTTATTTACTATTTATTACTTTTCATTTCTTCCTGTGGATTCACGTTACCATCTGGTGTCATTTCCTTGTTCCAGTATAACAGTCCTTCCACCCACCTTTTTTGCGCTGTTATTGTAAAATATATTTGATTTCTATATGTTATGGGCTTAACAATGCTATTATACTAATATTGTTTTATACCACATTTAACGTGATTTAAGATAACAAAAGAGAAGAAATATGAAATTAAACTTTTTTTTTAAGGTATGCTTTTTGGTGAGGAAGATTGGCCCCAAGCTAACATCTGTTGACAATCTTCCTCTTTTTTTTTTTCTCCACAAAGCTCCAGTACCTAGTTGTGTATCCTGATTGTAAATCATTCTAGGTCTTCTATGTGGGATGCATCCACAGAATGGCTTGATGAGCGGTATGTAGGTTTGTGCCCAGGATCCAAACTGGCAAACCACGGGACGCCAAAGCAGAGCACACAAACTTAAGCGCTATGCTACCGGGCCGGCTGGCCCCTGAAATTATACTTTTATAGTTGCCCATATAATTGTCTTTACCAGAGTTCTTTGTTTTTCATGTGAACTCATATTATTGTTTAGTGTCACTTTCTGCCTTAAGAACTTCCTTTAGCATTTCTTTAACGTGAATCTTCTAGCAGTGAATTCTGTCAGCTTTTGTTTATCTATTAATGTCTTCTTTTCACCTTCACTGTTTAGAAGATCATTTTACTGGATATAAGGTTTTTGGCTGACAGGTGTTGTCCCCCTGGTTTCAGCGTGTTGATATATTGTCCCACTGCCTCTGACCTCCATGGTTCTTTAGAAGTCTGCTGCCAACTTTGCTAAGATTCTCTTGTACATGATGAGTTGATTTTCTCTGACTGCTTTCAAGAATTTCTCTTTGCCTGTGGGTTTCAAATTTTACTGTAATGTGTATGCATCTGGGTATGGATCTCTGTGTGTTCCTCTCAGTTGGGTTCATTGAGTTTCTTGGATATGTAGATTAACGTTTTCCATCAAATTTTGAAAGTTTTTATTCCTTATTGCTTTGATTTCTTTTTCTCTTCCTTTCTTTCTCTCCTTATTATGACAACTCATATCACACATACGTTGGTGCACCAAATAGTGGGCCACATTTCTCTGCGGCTCTGTTCATTTTTCTTCATTCTTTGTTCTCTCTTCTTATTAGATTACATAATCATTATTGATCTATCTTTCAGTTCACTGATTCTTTCTTCTGCTAGCTCAAATCTATTGTCAAAGTTTTCATTTTGGTTATTGTACTTTTTGACTCCAGAATCATTCTATTTTCTTACTAGTTTATTCTTCTTTATTTGTCTTCTCTATTTGACAAGGCCTTGTTGTCGTAACTTCCGTTATTCTTTGAGCCTGGTTCCTTTGGTTCTTTGGACATATTTATAATAGCTCCTGTACCGTCTTTGTCTCATAGGTCCAACGCCTGGGCCCTCTCCAGGGGAGGCTCCATGGCCTCCTTTCTGTTGTGTGAATGAGTACATGTGGCTGTTTCTTTGCACGTCTCTTAATTTACAGTTGACTACTGGCCATTTTAGATAGTGTGTTGTAGCAGATCTGTATGGTGACCCACTCCTGGGACTTGTTTTGGCTTGCTTGCTTGCTCCTTTGTTGTGCAGCGGTTGGCTGGACTCCTTCAGGGAAGCCTGTCCGGCAGCATGCAGCCTCTGATGTTGCTGCTCACAGGCCCCGCTTTGGGCCTACTCCCCAGTGGAAGGTGGTGTTTTCAACCAGGCTGTCTTTGACTGTGTCGCTCTTTTCCTGATTCCCTTGTTAGATGTTAGCTGCTCTGCTTGTGTTGGAGCCAGTTTTTGGATCCTGGCTGATTTCAGACTCTTATCTGCTGTCCGTCTCCCTCGTTCTTTCTGTTGGATGTCTAGCTCATTGTTGTTCTACTTGTTTCTGTCATGCAGTCATTAGCCTCCTCTTGTGACTCAGCACCAAGATCCCCCTTTTTATGGACAGTGTGGCTCAACTTTCCCACCTCTGTGCCAGATGACTTCAGTTGCCTGGGGAAAGCTACAGAGCTCTCTCTGCTAATCACCTGCCTCCTCCCCAGGCTGGGAATAGGGCAGCAGCCTGCTTCTCTCAGACAGCCTCTCCTGCTCTGTGAGGTGGCACTGGATGGGGTCAGGAACTCCTGGACCTCTTGACTTGTCTTTCCTGTGTGGAACCTCTGCCCGGTGAGCACGCTGGGACAAAGGCACTTAGGTTCCAGTAATCTTGGCCTGCCACCCCTGAGGCAGAGCTTCAATCCTACAGCTGGGAGATGGGTGGAGGAACAGATGCCCTAACCACTCACTGTGCTTGCCTGGAGTAGAGCTTCTGTAACATGAGCCGCAAGTGGGGATGGGAGATGCTGGCAGCCTGACAGAGTCCACGCCCTTGGCTGCGCCCACCCAGAGTAGAACTTCCAGATTGCTGAGCTGGAAGGGAAGAAGGAAGGGAGCAGGTTGTAGCTCAAATGCCACAGATTCTCACTGTTCTTATGGAGGGTTAGTAGAGTTTCTTGAATAAATGTTTCTCCATTTGCTATATGCACTTTGGACAATTTCCAGAGACATTAAATGGTTTTTTAAGAGTAATTTTCACTAGTCATGGCTGCTTTCCTGGGGAGGAGGTCTGCAGTCTCCTCACATTGCTATTCTGGACGTGCCCTGTGGATGGACTCTTGATAACTCCCTGTTAACACTCCTCCATTCGCCTATTAATTCATTTATTCATTTATCCATTCATCAGTTTTATCCCATGAGAAGCCTTATATTTAATTTTTTTCTTTAAAAATCAACTCCCAGTCACTTCAACAAATGCAATTTTGATAGTAATACATACCAAAATGTACTTTCTGTCTAATTTAATATAAAAGTTCTTTCCTTGAGCTTAGTATTTAAGAGATTCAGATTAAAAGTGTGTGTGTTTAATAATATTTATAGAATGTTACATTAAAGAAAGTTGGATTCTCAAAAGCTTCCTCTTAGTGTACAGGATGACAACTGTCTGGTAATTCTTGCAACAGCCTTACTCAATCCTTTTTGTGCCAGAAGTGTCTTGGGACGTTTGTTTGCAAGCCACAAGCCTAATGGACCATGACCGTTCCTCCTATTCTGTTTATTAGAGCTGTTTTAGAGATATCTTTAAAACTTTGTAAAATATGCTCTAAATTTAAAGAGTAGTTTGGCAGATACTTAAAAAAATATTTTTAAATATGTCCTAAATATTGTAGCCCTAGCTTGAAGTTAGGCACCTCGTAGGTCTTAAAAAGTCCTTATTTGCATATATTGCCTTACTGTGAGAGAATAGGAAATACATACATTGGTCTCTGCCCTGGGCCTGACACAGGGCTCCTGAGACCCTTGTAAATTCTCAGTGATAAGAGCATGAGGAGCCTCCTTTGTTCTAATGAAGGGACTCCCAGTGGCTCCCGGGTGGGGCTGATCATCTGAAAGACCAAGCCATGATTAGAAGCTTGGAACTCTCAGCCCCACCCCCTGTTCTCCAGAGATGGAGAAGGGCTAGAAATGGTGTGGGTAATGCTTAGAGGAGGAGGCCTCCATAGAATCCCAATAGAGGGGTCTGGAGAGCTTCCAGCTGGACAGATGTCTGCACACCAGGAGGGTGTCGCACCCCAACTCCACAGGGACAGAAACTGCTGGGCTCAGGACCCGCTCAGACCTCGCCTTGTGTTTCTCTTCATCTGGCTGTTCATCTGTGTCCTTCGTCATATCCTTTGACAAACTTACATAAGTAAGTGTTTCCCTG